AGTCAAAGATCGTGTATCGGAACACCGACATACAACGTGGGACACTCTCCGTATCGGAACACCGCCTACTGGCGGTTGGCTCGCAGTCTGAAAGCAGACCCCCGCGAATCTCTATCGCCGTTAGTTAGACTTAATAGCGCTTCAATAGCCCTAGATGACTCCGAAAAAGCCGAATGCCTTGCGGACAACCTAGAGCAGCAATGTACGCCATCGCGCGAACACACCGATACAGTCCACCTAACGGAGGTGGACCGCGTAATCGAGACTAGGGCTGCGCTTCCACCGGAAGGCGAACCTTTAAATTCAGTGACCCCCGAAGAGGTCCAAGATATTATTAAAAATCTAAAACCGAAATCCGCCCCGGGCCCAGATAATATCAGTAACAAAATTCTCAAAGCTCTCCCTGGGCCGCTTATCTGTTTACTGGCGACCATTTTCAGCACTCTATTCTCCAGTTGCTCCTTTCCGGACGACTGGAAACAAGCCGAATAAACCCGCCAACCAGCCCTCTAGCTATCGTCCCTTCAGCCTCCTCAGTTGCCTGGGGAAGCTCTACGAGCGGCTCTTATTAAACAGGCTCAAAGAGCACGTATTTTCCAACGGTCTTCTGCCGACGGAACAATTCGGCTTTCGAGCTAGACACTCTTGTCCCGACCAGTTATACCGCCTAACGGAGCACATCCTAAAAGGCCTAAATCACCCGAAACATATCAGTACAGGGGCTCTTTTCTTCGATGTCGCAAAGGCATTCGACAAGGTCTGGCACAACGGCTTACTTTACAAGCTATACACACTCAAAGTGCCAGATAGGCTCGTACAGACCATCCGGGCCTTTTTGTTGAATCGCTCTTTTCGATATCGAGTCGAGGGCACCCTCTCCACAAGCCGCCGCCTCACGGCCGGCGTACCACAAGGCTCCTGCCTCTCACCTTTGCTCTTTACGCTCTACACGAGCAACATACCCAAAGCTCGCCATGTCAATCTCGCGCTTTTCGCGGATGACACCGCGCTCTTTTATTCACTCACCACTCGACTCCAAAGCGCCGCCGACCGCCTCGGCGATTGGTTCCGCAAATGGAGAATAGAAATAAATCCCGAAAAGAGTGTGGCGATTCACTTCACACGAAGTACTTACCCATCACATCTTTATAATGGTCCTCGCCAATGCAGAAAGTTGGGGCAAATATCCCTTTATGGCCAACCGCTCCCCTGGGAGAAAAAGGTCAAATACTTAGGAGTCACTTTCGACTCGCGTATGTCATTTACTACGCACATTAATAACGTTCGTAATAGAGCCGCGTTCGTCTCCGGCCAGCTACACAATTTAACTAACGCTAAAAGTAAAATGCCCTTAAGGCACAAATTATAATTATATAAGACCTGAGTACGACCTATTATGTCCTACGCATGCATGACCTTCGCCCACACGCACCCTACTCGCTTGTACAAGCTGCAAATAGTACAAAATAAGTTCATCCGCCGTGCAACCGGTGCGCAGTGGTATCAACGCAACGTCGATCTGCACAGCGATTGCAGACTCCCGACGATTCGCGAATATTTTAAAGACCTGACCAAACGGTTCTTCGATAGAGCCGAACATCATCCCAACCCTCTGGTGGTAAGCGCAGCAAATTACCAACCCGACACAAACGCGAACGTCAACAAGCGTCGCCCGCGAAACGTCCTCATCGACCCGGTCGAGGAAGGGGACTTAGATACGCCGGACCCACCGCCGGATAACACTACACCCACAGCTCGTGTAACAACAAACACAATAGTTCGCCCTCGCCTCCGAGCACGGCGAGACCAACACAACGCGCACACAAGGTACACCCGCGTTCCAGGGCGGTTCTCACCGTCCCCAGCCAACGATTACCTAAAAACACAGTCGACGGCCATCGGGATCTCGGTCCGCACCGCAACTTCGATGGCCCTTAGATGACATGTCGTAGTTAAACGCACGCATGAGCACATGCGCGGCCCTACCCACAGCGGAGGGCCCAAACCCGTGGGTTCTGGCTAGCCCACCGGTTCTGCGTCAGATGAAGCTTTAATAGTCTCGGGACTGAAAGCAAAAATATCAGTTAATACAAGATACAAGCCTTTAATCGTTCCACATAACGACCGCGGTCGTTGTGGTCGCGGCGAAAACTTCACTCATGACGTCATGAGTTACGCTCACGCGAAGCTCACGGCGACCTAGCTAAAAAGGTGGGTCGAAGTGATCGTTGAGAAAATTAGCGGCATTTTCAACTTAAAGCATCAAAGTTGGCGACTGTGAAACCGTTATTTCATAAAAAAAGACATTTTTATTACATCTGAAAGTAAATTAATTAAATACAGCACTAATACTAAATATAAAAAAATATTTTTTTTCAATATATAATATATAAATATAATATAATTTCAATAAACATTTTTTTTTTCAATATTCAATATACTAAAGTTTTTTCAATATAAATCGATTTAAACAAAAATTATTGTAAGTTTATTTTCAAGGCTTACAGATTATAATCTAACCTCTTAAATCTTTTCCTTTCTTTATACTTACTTGCCGTCTGTATTATTTACCTCTACGCTCGAAACGCTCTATAAGATTATAATCCATTTCACTTGAGTTTACGACCGTAACGCTCACAAGCAAGTGGAACGGGCAAAACTGGGGTCGTGAGCGTGATCGTTGTGAACGCTTAGTGGAACGCACCACTAGCTAGTGTAGAAGAAATCAATGATGTTAAGATGACGCATGTCTGTACTAGGCAGTTTTTAAAAAGATCTGAATGTGACAGATAATATAGAATGTATGCTAGGGAAAGAGATGGCAGTCTATACAGTTGCCATGTAATTACACCAATTGGCGAAATTTCAATGCATCAGTTTCGGTGCGCTAATGTCATATTTACCTATTATTTATATATAATATCATTGGTAGAAATTATGATGCAGACTGTATTACCTAATTCTTATCTATATCATAATCATAATCTTAATTTATTTTATTTTATGGACATTGAGAAAAATTCAGGTGCTACATCTTATGTACACATAATTAGAACACAGCCGAAAACGTTTTGGTTGAGGATTGAGGTCAAATGAAACAACTTCCCGGTTGTAAATGTTGTTTCTATTTTAAGGGTAACTTATGGCATAGTGTCGGCTATTTTGGCAATGAAAATCTGTGAGCAAGAGGTCGAGCAAACATTTAAATCGAACGGAGCGTCCGCACTGTCAAAAGCGGACGTCAACGTCATGTCAACTGACACATGAAGCAGTGCTGCCAACTACTAAAAAAAGACCCTAAAATCAAGATGAGATAACACAAAATGCAATTTTGAAAAACCCCAAAGCCCTGTATTGTATTCAAATATATTGTTTAAATCAGTTTTATGTTTTGTTAAGGTAAATAAAATTTAACTTGGTTTTAAGAACTTTTCATTACAAATAATTGAAATATTTAATAAAATAACACAAATAACTATCATTTCATTAATTAATAGACACTTTGCTTTCTTTACTCACTTTGGTCTCAGTCAAAATAGTGATACATGAAAGTACCTATTACTCCTGTTCTTGTTACTTAAAAGTAACAATGACAAATACCTGTTACAAAATAACAGCCTGTTATTTCAGACTATGTTGTTACAATTTGTTACTCTATGGTAACTTCCGTATTTCTCTTTGAAAGAGCTTGTGACACTTATCACAGTGACACTTATCACAGTTGTTATTGAACATTGTTACAGTTTTTATCTCTTTCTAACTAAAGTAGCAGTCGTAAGCATGAATAAAGAAAAGCTTGTGACAGCGTGTTAAGGAGCAATTTTTGTGGGACAGAAACTGTTACTTAAGTTTGTTCGTAACAGGTATGTTATCTCGAGATATCTGTTATATTTACCTGTTAATATAAATACGATTCGCTGATATTTGAGAGTTTGTGAGCGACGCGTCGACCCACAGATTATTAAGATGCAAATCAAATCGAAAACAATTAAGTGCGTGCTCAGATATGTTCACAGAAAGATGTAGGTAGGAATGCTTTGATATTTAAAGTTAACAATATTTTTGTAGATACTGCTTGCATGTGAAAAATATACCATAATTTAATCTTTTCATTCATAAAGATATTAATCGTAAGAAAAGAATAAAATTATAAGCTCAGAATACACATATAACACGTATATAAAATCAAAGCTACAAGTATAGTAAATTTATAATAACAAAGATAAAGTTTACAAGATAATAATTAGATTAGTCTAGAACGCGCTCTAGCAGATATACCTCAAATCCAAATTGACTATTAACCATTGTAAATAAAAAAATAGACAAAAATTTAAACTCTTCAGTTTTCACAAGAAATCCTTAATAATATTATAAAGGCAAAAGTTTGTATGTATGGATGGATGTTTCTTGCTCTTTCACGCAAATACTACTGAATGGATTTTAATGAAACTTTACAATAACATAGCTTATACATCAGAATAACACATAGGCTATAATTTATATACATATCTTATGTATATCTGTCTTTCTGTCTTAATGTAACACCTTCAGCGTATTCCACGCCGACGTAGTCGCGGGCAGCAGCTAGTATGTAATATGTACGAAAAAGGAAGACGGCTGACCTTTTTCCTATGTATATTTCTTGTGAAGCTGAAGGCATGTTCACAGACCTGGATAAGACTGAAAATAATTACCTTTCATGTAAAAGTTTGTACTTTGTACTCAAGAATTGCATTTAGTTGAGTCTGTGGCGTAAGGAAATGTCAAAATATTCCCTAAAACTAAATTACGAACGAACCACTGCTTTTGTAAATTTATATTTTAGTTTGGAGCTCTAAAAAACAGGATATTAGCGTATTACTATTTTGGGGCAGATAGAATATTATAATATAAATTAATTGACTAAATAACTTAGACCGAAAACGAAAATAATGTAACGGGGTTTGTTTTATGCAAATGATAATGACAAAATCGATGTTTTCGTCGGGGGCTTTTTGCGCATGCGCCCTCACACCCGCAACCGACGCCACCTCTTTAGCAAGTCACTCGGCTGGAGGAGAGGACGGAATTTTTTCAATAAGTATTTCCAGCCGATCCTCGTGGACATACGCGATTACTATCAGGTAATTTAATATTTTTAACGCCATAAAGGGTCGACTTAATAGTAATTTCAAAATTCATTTGGTTTCTTAAAGAAAGAAAGCAGGCAGTAATTTATAACTTCAGCCATTTAGTAAGATAGCTTTTGAGCTTTAATTTGTAGTTAGAAATTTGCAGTTTAGTTCTGTGTATCAAAAAATGAACTAGAATAAACCCCAGGCTGATCATGTTGGGTTTAATACCATCACTGTAATGAAAAGCTAGTAACTTCTTAAATTTATCTCCAACCCTTTAATTAAACACTTCTGAAGAATCTTCCAATGATTGCATAAGTCATCAAGTGAGTCATTAGGATTAGGCAACTGATAATTTTATGATTTTTTTGTGAGAAGGTGGCAAGCGAGCTGACGGTTCACCTGATGGTAATATACCCGATGATATGCCATCTAGTCGCAATTTAAAGTACATTACTGTAAGTATTTAAAACAATCATTTTAGTCACTCCTTTTGCAGATATGCTAATGTCTTATTGATAGAGGATTAAGTTTTAGTCACTCAACTCTCTGTATCGTCCATCTAGTATTTCCAACTTATTTAGGCTCTTTATGAACACTCAATTCATTACTCTTGTTTGTCATTAATATTGTTAATAATGAGTTTTCATTTATATAACATTATTTATATTGTTTGCATTGTACTAAAATATAATCCAAAGAAACAAATTTTAGGAGCCTATAAATCACCATTGTATCTTTTTTTTAAATTAAAAACTAGGCCAATCTTGTTTATTAAGCACTGGTTAGCAACTCGCATGCTTGTCTCAAGTAGGTAAAATTTGTGCTTACTTAGTTTTTTTGGTAACATGTTCAAAACATTGTATTAGGCATAATAATCTCCCATGTCCTTTTATGTTTCCCATCAAGAGAATAATTAAAAGGAAAGTTTGTACTAATGGACAGAGTTTTCAAGTAGGTGGGATTTGTGGATCATACTGAACTTGAGTACCCACTCACACCATAATGGATTTGTACATACTTTAATTACTCAGCGGGTGTTTCTGTAGTCTCAGTAAAAATAAATTAATGCTTAAAGTTGGAGCCAGAACTTTAAACAATGAATGTGATAAATCTGTAAAAATAGTTATAATAAGTAAAATAAGCATCATTTTGAACTATTATTTATGAGTCATTTATATAGAGCCATATCTCAGGTTTGAATAAAATAAAAGCAGGTGGAAATAAACAAATTGCATTACTTTCAAATTGAAAACTCAACATATCTTCATTGCAACTGAAAAGACAGGCATAAATTTCAAGAAAATGCCAAGCTTGAACATAAAATTAAAATTATGACAATGATTTATTTAGTTTATATTGGAGGAATGTTCTTAAATATTCTAACAAATTAATGCCTTTATCTTTTAATAATCTGCCTTAATTTTCTATCTCTTTAAAAATTTGTGATACAATCATTAACTTTGAGTTAGCCAATAAATATAGTTTAATCGAATCATATTTTATGTTCCCATTATTGAATTTAAAACACCAACAAAATTGTTAAAATAAATCTCATGGAAACAATGCTACAATAATATTACTATGTTTTTAAGACAACACCCATATTTCATCAGGATATTGGAAAAAGTTCTGTGTAAATATATATTTATTATCAGGGATTGGAACATTTTTAATTTCAGACGGCGCCGTATTTCGTTGCGGAACGTTATTAAACTTTTTTCGAGCTTCGTGAAATATGACGCGTCTCGGTGGAGCCTAAGATGTATTGCTTTCATATAAAACATGGGATAGGGTGGAGTGAAAGTTGTGTTCATTTTAGTTGCCATATTGAAATGTTGCCATATTGAAATGTAACATTTGGTATTGAATGTTTCAGGACCGGCCCTGCGGGAAACTGATATTAGTGAAGCACCGGTTGGAGAACATTGAGGTAAGGCTTATAAGATTTATTTATTAATATGTCGAAGAATATAAATCATCTGGTTGGTCATGTGTATTTTATATATTCACCGTGAAGTGAGGGGTTTTTTCTAGCAGCATGACATGTTTGTCTTGTAGTTATTAGGGAACTGACTTTGAGAATAAAAGTTTAATTTTTTTTTGTACTTTGGGATTTCTATTATCCTTAGAGAAAATAGTATTATTTAGTATTTTTTATATATTGGAATAAAAATAACCTACGGTTTTGTACGAAAAAAAAAAAAAAATCGCTTATAGATTTCGTGTTACGTCACCATTACACTAAAAAGGAAAGGACTGTGACGTGCATTAGCGCTCCGCTTGAGCCGAATAAGATATCCTCGTCTTTGTTACAAGCTATATTTCAGAAGAGCTTTAAATAGGGCACAGGATACGATCCGTTGAAGAATTGCGCGGCGAGATCTTTATACTTCGGCTCGAAATCCATCACTGACGGATGGGGATTACCAACGTCGATAAATCTTGCGGCGCCTCTCGATTTGGAAAAAACAAGTTCTATTTCAATTAATGTCTTATAATTGAAGAGTGGAATTGAGGAATCTAAAAATTTGCGGTTTTGAGGTTATTGTTTAAATTATCATGTCTACATAAAAAAATGTATGCGATCTCAAATTAAGCGGAGACGATAGCTTTTAGAACTTTTGCGTTGACAGAGTTGAAATTTTGTCTCGAAAAGTATGGAAAATGATTCAAAGAATTTCAATGAGAAGTCTAGGGTTTAAAACAAGAATTTTATATTTACATGTTTATCAGGATTCAGAATAACGAATGTAACTATTAGATTTACTCACGGGGACGAGGTCGTGGGCATAAGCTAGTTTATAATAATATTAAAATATATGTGAAACCTTAAAAATATTCTTTTTCGCAACGTAAATATAAGAAATCATTGCAAAATATTAAATTCGAATGATATGGAATCGTTAAAGCATTTTGTGTTGAAAATCGATAAAAACGAGATCTCGGCACATCTATGGATAGAGTACGTCGACGTGGAACAACTCTAAAATCGTTCTTGCGTAGAGGACGTTGTTTGCGCCACAGCGTGCAAGATTAATGATGGCGGGACGACACAACACAGAGCTTGGGGTGGTGAGGGGTAGCGGGAGGGTGGCGGGATGTATCGAACGGGGGTTCGGCTTCACCCCCAGCGGAACAGTAATGCGCCGTTTCTATTCAGACTAATTGCCTGTAGATATTTACCCGAACACCGTCCGCCTATACAGGATTTATAAACGAGATTCAATTAAAGGCTAACACGTAGGCGTTCGTCTCGTTCGGACTCTGTAAATTATATCCGTACATTAACGGCCGTGTTCTAGCGACGGGGTTTCGCAAGCTCTAGTTTGAGGGCCTTTCATTAGGATCCATTTGATCCGTTTTTGTTGATGCGCACTGCTAAGTGACGTCATCTATCCTCGGTTTAGTACGGTCGGGGGTAGGCGGCCCCGCGCGTCGGTACTGTCTGGCGGCTGGCAGCCAAATCTCGATCGATCCGAGTGCGTCAAATGATGAGTCAGACGATCCGGCGTATCCTCCCTCACAAAGGGCTCGCGGGGAAACAATGCCCTTTCGCCTCTCGTCCTTCCCCCGCGCAATTTAGTGAACCTTTTTGTTAGAGCGCCCTCCTCTACCACATTATCGGTACACAATGGCCGAAATGATTTGCGAGAAAGTACCGCGATTCGTATTTTTTTCGTGCGATTTCTTCTCGGATGAACGATGTGTTGACATGCAGTAGTCGGACTCTCTTTTGAAATAAATTTTACCGTTGTCATGTATAAAAAGTCATCGTTAACGATTTCATTAATTTAATTTGAATTGACTATTAGGATTTTGGAGTTTATTTCATAAATTAATTTTATGTAGCATAGAAGGCTAATTTCAAATCCGAACACAATAACTTAAAATGAAAATGCGACAAAAATTGAAATATTTAATATATTTCTATATAGAATTTGATGATTTATTACTATCAAATTTTAAATTTATTTGCTATCAAATTTCACAGTAAATGATAGATAAGTGAATACAATAGAAAAATCGAATGTTCTTTGAAAACAAAAATGTTGCTACTGTACGTTTCTGACATAAATAAAAATTTATTTGTTAAATCAATCACTTGCTAAGTTTCAGGTCAGAAGGTGTAGACTTAACAATCTTCTACGAGTTTAAACAACTTATCAACTGAACGGGAAGAGAGAAGAACAAATTGGCACATTCGTGATCTACCCTGTAGATCCGGGCTTTTGTAGTTTGTAGTCATCAGAAGCTCGTCTCTACAGGTATCTCACGGCTGGAAGACCTCGCTACTAAATGAAGTCAACAAGAAAGAACGAGTTCAAGATACAATGTTAATATAACTGCTTGTTTTCTTTTGTTTCTTTTGTCTGTTATGTTCACAGTTGGTGGCCCTTATCCCTTATCGATCAAAAGCAGCGAATTTAACTGGGATAGATTGTTCACGTTTTGATTGGATAGTGATGATGAGCAATTGAGATCGTATATAAGACGCACAGATCATACGTACTACCCGCGACCTGCAGCAACGATGTGTTAGATTAGGGAGGAACTGTTGCAGATACTGAACGTCTTTAAGGTTACAGTTATTACTGAACCTAAAAATCCAAGTGGATGGTATAAATGTTCAGCAAACAACAGGCGTTGTCTTTAATTGTCCTCGATTTTCATTCAAATTTCTAAACTAATTAGAGGCAAAGGGATTTGAGACTAATAACGAATAATTGGTACTCTTTACGGCCAAAAAGTGGTGAATACACATATTTAACAGCAATAACAGACCGTTATTAATAGTTTCAGTGAATCTAAATATCCTGGGTAATATAATAACGGCCTAAGTTTTCACCGCTTAGAGTACTTAAAATTGGAGTATTTACATAAGTTTTTACTCGCTATTTACATTAAGTTGGAAACTTTATTTATTAAAGTATACTTACAATAAAGCAGTTTTATTTTAATTAGAACAATTCAGGCTACTGTAACACGTAATAATCAGGGCAAAGATATAATATTGAATTATAAAAAACACGTTTTTAATGTAATGAGCTTAATTCAACCGTTCGATAATGATAATGATGACTTGGCAATATTAAATCCATCAGCTTGCACAAGATTGTTGCAATTTTTAACCGTAAATATTTATTAGACCGCTTAATCTACAAATGATATAAAATAACTAAAGTCAATGTAGTGCATTGAATTCGTTTGAAGGCTTTACAGAGGATTCATGATGCAACTTAAAACGTGCGTCCTGCGACATATTGCACAGCAGTACGCTAAATTTGTATCGTGTCTTGTTACGCTTTCGATGAATTTACTGTTCTCTAGCGATTGGTTGGAATTTAACGTTCAATGGAAGGAAACACTAGTTTTTTGATACTTGAATTATTTTTGATAGGACATTATATAATGCGTTTATTTCTTGGTTAATGTTTGAATATTTAATTTTGATAATTGTTAGGTAAACAAGCAAACGGATTGCTGCATGTTTTTAAAGTTAAAGTGGTTGCAAATGCGTTGCCAGCCCTTCAGATAATTGTAGGTTTTCTGGTTTTAAAGATTTTGGCATTTAAGAGCATTTACGTCTTGCCCGGAAGGCCATGGAGAGAACTGGATATAGGCATTACTAACTTCACGCACACAAAATCAAGCGTGGTTTTGTCGATGCGATTCGTTCATTCATATTATAGTCAAACTAATTCACTTTGATCCTTTCGAGTAATTGAGATAGCAAATATTTAATTGGGATTTGGGTGGGTACTAAATGTATATATAATTACTAACGACCCATAAAAAATAAAAACAAAAAATGTTGTCTATAAAATATAATAAAAAATTAGGGGTGGACGACCCTTAACATTGGGGGAATGCAAAATAGATGTACGATTCGCAGACCTAACCGATATACACACCAAATTTCACGAAAATCGGTCGGAGGAGTTTAATTACAAAAATCGAGACACGATAATTTTATGTATTATATTTTATATATTTAATTAATTGTCAAGAAGGAATGGTAAATATTATGAAATTTAATGATGTACTGAATAATTTGCTGTGTGAAAAAACAGATTACAGACCATTCAACAACGATCTTGGCCTATTAGTTATAAATAAATAAATGAAACATCGTATTTTAATTGTAATTTTTTAATAATAAAGTGTATTATAATTATTATCTGTACACCATTGAGAACCATTTATGACCCATTCTCAGTCACAGGTCTGTTGGAAGAGATTTCTTAAGAAATATGCAGGGCCTTTTACTAATCTTTTCCTGTTATTACATTTCCTTAGGCCTCCAAAAAGGCACTTTAAAAGGTAAGAAATAAGTGAAAAGAAATATGAAATTAGTAAGTCGTCCCGAAGGCTTACGACTTACTAATTTTATATAAGATATACGAAAGTCCAGATCCATGGCGCTGTTCTAAACGATCTGGACTTTCGTGGGTCTAGAGTTTCAGGTAGTAAAACAGTTAAATTACATATTTAACTAAAATATTAATCAAAATAAAAATCAAATATTATAAGTAGAATATCTAGTTTTTATGTTATTTAACCTTAAAATAGAATCAAATAGAACTTCATCTTGAGTGATTTTCAATAAATTGAAAATGCAAACATAATAATGAGTTATATTGTGGTTTGTTATGGATTAAACGAATGTCAAGTTTACTTGTACTATAGGTATATTGAAATGAAAGACACACGAGTTTAAACGACGTTTTTCTGGTCGAATAAATGACCTCGCTAAATTAATTAGCAACATCAATATTTTCATGGTTTCAGATAATGCGGCTGACGTGTTGGATGTGTTTTGATACACAAAAATAATATTCCATACTTGCATAATTTTAAGGTTTTCAACTCTCTCTCAACTTAAATTTCAACACTAAAATTAGTTTTACAATATATTAATTTAAACCAATAATTAAAGCAGACGTATTATGTTACAATGAAATAATAAAGAAAAATATCAAGAGGATTGAAAATTTAAGTGAGATATTTTAGAAATGTTAAGTCAAAATTATTAATAATCATACTTTTGGGGAATATTATATATACGTAGGTATGTACCGATAGTCTTAAAAAATATTCGGACATTTCATTCATACCTATCTTAACGACAGTCGCTTACTGCTCGTAAACGAAAAACTTAAATAATGAATTACGTTTAAACTCTTGCCTCCGTCAAACTTTTTAAACTTCGTGTTTTTTGTTTGCCAAGTTTTGTAAAGTTCAAAAGCTCAGAGTTCTACCTGATCCTTTACCTATGGTAAAAGTTCTACCTGATCAGGTAGAACTCCGAGCGACGTGTCCTTTCTTTCGAAAGCCACTGGATATGTCACTTTAATCTTTAGGAGGCCTTTACAGTTTCCACGGGTTCGAGGTGGTAGGGTTGAAAACGCCGAACCTAAATCTCATTTAAGAATGACTAGGCGCTAGGGCTTAGGCCGTCACTCTGTTAATATAATTACCGGATTGGAAGGCCGCTAAGCTCTTAGGTCGCCGTGTCAGATGAAGCTTTAATAGTCTCGGGACTGAAAGCACAAACATCAGTTAATACAAGATCTTAGGTCGCCAAGATCTGTCAGTAATTAAATATATTATAAAGCTGAAACTGACACTAAAGATGAATATTTGAAAACATATGTTTAGTATCGAAATTATTTAGTAATATATTTTCTCTGATAACTAACCACCTATTTGTAAAATAGTACTAATTTTACCACTGTTTGTAAAATAAATGGTCAACAAAATCCTGGTTTGGCGTAGAAGCTGTAGACTAATCTTTATTGACACCTATGAGTTTAGTTTTATTTGTTCTAATACATTTCAGATAACACTCTAAATAATATGTAGGAATAATATTGTCAGATATTGTTTAAAATGAATAACATAAATATTTATGTTATTTGTACTTCTGATGCAAAAATACCAAACTTTTGCCTAGTTTTCTAGTTATTAGAAAATTCATGTCATTTATACATAACTTTAGAATTGAAGGGACCTAATTAAGAAAATCATGTTTTTGACTTTATGACCGCAAACGACTGAAAACGACAACTATTTCGACTCTTATTAAAACTACAAGGATATTTTAGAAAGCTACATAGGGGAGTGAAAGATAACGAAATATAGGGATATTTCGTTATCTTTCA